ACTAAGCAGCTTGCAGGATTAGGGCCCATAGTATCCTCTGAAAATAAAAATCAAGATGGCAGCACTAACCCTTTTGCTTTCAAAATCTGCAATTCATTTTTTTAGAAATAGTTTAAAACGGTTTTAAAGATTGGTTTTTTTTTGTTTATTAAGGAAAGAACTGTGTGTTCCAGGGCAGCGATGAAACGGATAAAATATAGTCTGATAAATACTTCATAATACCGATCAGATTCTGCCACCATTTACACCATTGCAACATCATTGTGTCTCAGGGTTGCCTGGGTGTCACCAAGGGGAGACAAATGGACACACTTTTTTCTGTGTGAGGGCTCACTCCTGTAATCCGACCTCTTGCCAGGTCTGATCCACCTGCACAGAGTCGCAGCGAAGCCAGTGAGGCTCCAGGAGGGTATGAGGGTTGGCCCATATGGATAGGATTGGAGGGTCAGGGCCAATACTTTTATAATGCATAAGTCCTGACCCTGCAAACACACACTTTGCTCATATGAGTACTCCTGTGGTATTCAATGGTATTACTCGTGTAAGGAAAGTTATTCACGTGCATAAATACTTGCAGGGCTAGGGTGACCAGATGTCCTGATTTTATAGGGACAGTCCTGATTTTTGGCACTTTTTCTTATATAGGCTCCTATTACCCCCACCCCCCGATTTTTCACACTTGCTGTCTGGTCACCCTATGCAGGGCTGGCATCTAATTTTCTACATATTAACGAGAAATGATTACTGCAAAAGACAAAATCATCACTTGTTTTAAATAACATAAGCTGAATTGTCTTTACCTCTTGAATGAGGATTTGTGAATCCTAAATTTGGGACATGGGAAGATCTTTTCCTGTTTCCTAATGCTAAGATTATCATCTCTCTAGTTGTCACACCGTTACTCAGCCAAATCTATACTTGTATTGTGTAACCTCAGCACACTATTTTATTTCTGTTATTATCAGGGCAGAAAATAAACCACATTGCATACCAAATTCCCTTAAATATTGCCTATAGACATGGAAGTGGCAAACCTCAAAACAAACCAAATAATTAGCATTAAAGAAGGATAAAGCTTAGCTTAAAGGAAGTTTCAAGGAACCTGCCTGTTAACAGCTCTTCTAAAAAAAGGTATGAAATTTTCACTTTTTAAAATTCTAGTCAAATCAAAACAACAGCAGATTGAGACCACACACACACACACACACACACACACACACACACACACACACACACTACACTAT